ATATATATATATATATTAAATACTAATAATAATTAAATATAATATATTTTTAAAATTGATTTGATGTTTTCTAAATTTTAAACTTAACACAATTTCCAACACAATCAACACACCCCTGGGTGCCATTAGCACCCCCTAATTTATATTTTTCTAGAGGGAAGACCGCCTTTTTTTTGGCGTTTTGGAATATGAGAGAAAGCACACCACACGGATCATGATCTAGAAAGACGCTTTCACCGTCCGATCAAAATCAATCAAACGACTCTCATCAACTTTTAATCTTTCGACACGAACCGCCTCACTCCAACAACCCCCCAAAACTTTCAAATCCCCCCGCTACCTATAAAACCTCCCAACCCCACCGTCTTCCACCATCCCCTCCATCCCTAAAAAACACAAACCCTAATCTAAAATCTCGCATCCCCTGTTTCGAAAATGTCAGGCCGTGGAAAGGGAGGTAAAGGATTGGGAAAGGGAGGTGCTAAACGTCACCGGAAAGTTCTTCGTGATAACATTCAGGGAATCACCAAACCAGCTATTCGAAGGCTGGCCCGTAGAGGCGGTGTTAAGCGTATCAGTGGTTTGATCTACGAGGAGACCCGTGGAGTTCTCAAGATCTTTCTAGAGAATGTGATCAGAGACGCCGTGACATACACCGAGCACGCTCGCCGGAAAACGGTAACTGCCATGGATGTGGTTTACGCTTTGAAAAGGCAAGGCCGTACCCTTTACGGGTTCGGTGGCTAAGTTCAGAAATAGTTTCCGTAATCGAAATAGTCATCGTAAGACTTGTAAGTTTTTTTTTTTTGGTTGGATTACAATCTAAGCGGATGTATCCTTCTTGGGTGTACGGTTTTATGTTGTTAGAAATGATTTTTGTAATCAATTGAAATATATGCTTCAAGTTATTGCGTTAGTTCCCAAAGCTTTAGTTGCGAGCATTATATCGTAATTAATGGAATTTCACGAGACACCGATGAAAGAATGCTTAAAAGAGGATTTCACTTGGTTTACAACTAAATAATTATCATCCCGCTGCATTATTCACTGGACCAACCACCATCTAGCTAGTCACCGAAACTCTTGTTATGGATAATATCCTGCGACACATAACAAAATAAAAATGCTTCATCACTAAATGTGGAGATTGTAGATACGGAGGAAAACTTGGAAGAAATCAAAGACATCCAAAACCTACAACACCGCTGACTAACTATATTAACGTCATCTGCTCAACATTAGATGATGATGAATACGCCATTGATAACGAACCTTGAAGATTGGTGATGATAAAGAAAATGAAAACCTAGAGGGTTGAAGATCAATTTTTTTTATTAACTTGGATATCAAATCCGTTATGCGAGCCAACTAATCTTAAGACGACTACCTGTTTTTGGAGTTATCATATTTGAACCTCCGTGGCCACAAGGAGATTTTTGTTTTTCATTGGATTTAAACCTAGGACCTCCTGCCATTTTTAACCTTTGAAGTTAAGCTCAAACCAATCAGGCACCATCTTTGTGATTGGAGATCAATTTATAATACATACATATAGTGTAACTACATAGAAATTGAAATACGAATTCTAATATCCCGATTTTAATGTTTCGTTTTTTTATCTCTGTTGATGTTATAATACGATGCTATATGATTTTAAAAAGATGATAATGTTTTTATATTTGAATAAAATCCCGATTTTAATGTTTCGTTTTTTTATCTCTGTTGATGTTATAATACGATGCTATGTGATTTTAAAAAGATGATAATGTTTTTATATTTGAATAAAATATAAATTTGAAAATCTCATAAAAAATTGTGTAATTTATTTAATTCAATTTTTTATTACAATTTAATTTCAGTTTAATAACGAAATAATTTATTTTCGGTTTAACAATATGATTTTTTTATAAAGATAATAATTAAGTATTTTGTTAGAATTCAATGATTATAATAGTATTATATTTTAGATTTTTTATATTAAAAATGAGATGTTTATCTTATATTTGATTATGTTTATCTGTAGTTGGTTACACGAATTCAAATATAAAGTTATAATAAGTTAAACTTATGCACAATTTACTTATAATCTTATATTTTAAGTAATAGAGTTGGGTTCCAGTAAAAATAAAAGTTATGGTGAGAAACATAAGAATAAATCTCCACTGTTAGATCAATTCTAGTTGAATGTCAACGTTAATGAGGCACATCAAGATGCACAGATCAAATCCCTTGTAATCGTAATTCATAGATGAACATAAGATTAAAAGGATTAAAAGTTCAGATATCTTCTTACGTTTCTCACACCATCTTTTACTTTAAGTAATATGCATCAATAAAAAATACTTAATGCATACAAAATGATTTTTAAGAGTTTTTAATCAAATATTTTATATAGTATAGATAAGGATGTAAATAATAAGTTTTAGAATGTCCGAACATTTACTTATTAAAAAAAAGATTGTTGAGTGACTTAATCACTCAAAGATGTTAAAGTCTGTTACGTTCTTGTAAACTTTTCCCTTTTATTACTAATTTGTAAAAAAAAAGTGAAAATATATGAAATGAAATTGTAATAGAAGAAATTTTGAAGTATATCTCAATGACTCAATTTTGAAAATCATAGTCATAAAAACTTGAAAGTTTTTGTTGCAAATTAATTTCGAAATAATGTTCTTTTTTCTACAAAAAAAAAGAGTCTGGGCTTGGTCTAGAACCGGGCCACAGGGATGAAAATGGCAATTTCAGAACCACAGGGATGAAAATAACAATTTCAGAACCACATGGATGAAAATGACAATTTCAGAACCACATGGATGAAAATCACAATTTTTAACAAACCACGTAACCAAAAAACATAACTTACTCCAAATTATGTGATGTTGAACAAGACATGAGATTGAATTGAAATAAAACTACCAAAGATAATTTTTGAAGGTGAAAAACTGGAGGATTCTAAACCAACTTCATTGAACACAAATACCATCTTAATCTTATAGAATTGAAAGGTAGAGACTCATTCAAAGGAGAACTGGCTAGTTTGTGGTAACCGTGAGATCCAATCTCAACCACAAATCAATAGATAAATTAGAAAATTTATAATTTTGGTAATTTTTAATTAAAATTTTAATGCAAGTCCATTTTAGGTATTTTCTCTCCTCTCTCCTCTCTTCTCTCTCCGTCCCTGTCTTCCAGCCACCGTCCTCCGGTTATACCACAGTGTGATACTCAAGCACATATAAGATGTATTGTGATACCACTATGTTACATATCCGATCGACCGCACAAACGACCACAGTGTGATACCCAATCACATATAAGATGCATTGTGATACCACTGTGGTATCACCGGAGGACGGTGGCCGGGGGACGGAGAGGAGAGAAAATACCTAACATGTCCTTGCATTAAAATTTTAATTAAAAATTACCAAAATTAAAAATTACCAAAATTATAAATTTCCTAATTTATCTATTAATTTGTAGTTGAGATTGGACCTCACGATTACCATAAACTAATTAATTCTTATTTGATTAAGCCCCTTGAAAGATAATCTATAAAAAAAATCATAAAATAACAGTGAGAATGAAGAAATCCGATCAGAGGATGGAACTCGTCAGGCAATCAATTGAGACAAGACTACGAGAGAAGCAACACATCATTTAGATTAGAGCAAATGTGCAACAAGGCTAACAACATATGCTATAGAGTTGGGCTGTTGGGGGAAGTAAAGAGGCCCAAACAATCGAGTAAACTCTGAACAGCCCTGCCAGATCAAGTCAGCATATCAGGTTGTTGGAAGTTGGAACGATTATAATTGGGCCTGGCCCAATAACTGTGGGTTGACATTATTTTGTATCAACTAGATCAGGGATTCTCTTGGGTTTCTGTGATCTTCTTCATGAGCTCAAGGGCCATTTGTATAGATTTAATTTCAAAACACTAACTGTGAGTTTCCTAATTGTTTTGACCAAAGCAAAGCTGATTCTAAAAGGCAACTTAGGGGTTATTTGGTTGATTTTTCATTAAATCTTACAAGAATATAGTTGTCCATAGATTAAAATAATTTTTGTTCAGAAGGACTTTTTCATAGATAGAAGTTTGTTTTTTAATTGGAAGAGGCAAGTTTGAAAAGAATTTGGTTTTATGCACAAAGCTCCCCCCTAAAATTTACTGAACAAGTCATTTTCTATAGTATTAAGCCAGAATCATACAGTCACGTGTAGCTGACAAGATAAGTTGTCAGTCCCATTAAACTTATTAAACATACCCTTGTTTGACCAAAGGTAAACCAAATTACTAGGCAACTAACAACACACAAGAGGCAACAAGGTGAAGCACTGAATATAAGGTTATAGAACAAACCAAAAGGTAATATCATAAGTTTCTCACATAGAAAGAAACACATAACAAAATATTTGCCCAAGATCACTGAATTTGCTACTTAGGTAAATGAAAACGATAAAAAAGTACCAATATCACTGAAAAATAACACTTCAACGACAAACCGGAAACATATCATAGGTAGCAGAAAGTAACACATACCCCACAAGCTATTAACATCTCTCTTGAGCAAAGAAGGCAATGATCGTAATAGGACTTCGACTTCAATTGCAGTGGCAGTGACAGCAGCAGCAGTGTTTTAATTGGCTCGACTTTTGAAAACATCAAGATCCATCTCTGTGGGGTCGGTTGCTTGAAGCTCCACCTGAATTCCATCAAGTTCCCTCTTGAATCGATCCTTGGAGCTAGCGTAAATCATTTTGCTTCTCACCCTTGCAGTGTCAGGGGACCTTTGCAAGTCGATACATACAGATAGACAAAAATATTATGTTTAGAACATGATGTTTCTAAGTTAGGCCACGTTTGACAACCATAAAGCTAGATTTTTTTAACTTATTGAAAAAACCCATTTAACATAAGCTAGCCTTTTGAAACGCTACTTCAAGTAGCATTTCAATAAGCTCTAGAGGGTAATTTCCACTTCCTTTTCCCAATTATGCCCCTTATACTTCTCTGATTATTTTTTAACACGTCCTTTTAAGTCATTTTACATTACTAGTTTATCAACTAGCTTATCAGCCAAACAACTTGTCTGCCAAACATAGCCTTAAACAGGAAGGAGATAGTAAAGCGTATAAAGTTGATTTCAAAGTCTTGTACTACCAGGCAATGAAAAAGATCCTGCTCTTTTGGCAGTTCTCTGCCGTCACAAAGTCATAGTCAAAGACAGCATATCGACACTCGGTAGCAGGTAGGGAAGCAGCRAAATCRTCGTGGCTTTGAGTTGGCTCACCAACCTTTTCCACAATGACTTCCTTTTGTTTCTCCTCGATCTTAAATATTATATAACGGAAGGTTCTTTTTGCCTTCAACTCCATAAATTTTAGTTTGCATTCATCATGCACAGCCATCCCAGATGCAGCATTAGCCTATACACAATGAAAGTTTATACACTATTAGAAGAGGTTGTGATTGTTGACGGCATACAACATCCATGAGTTGATTAGGACCATTACATCTATGTAAATATTAATTGTAAAAAGGAGCAGATATTAACCCATGTAAATTTAGTGAAAATTACTGAAAAGGAAGTCTTGAACAATTCTAGATTGGGTCACCAGAGTTTCATTTTCTAAATGTAGAAAATAAATGAAAAAACAGTAAGTTTGATCCTGAACAAGTGACATGTAATGGAAGTATAAGTGGTTTATGTTTTCTGATGATAGGTCTATGCCAGACGGATCCTGTGAAATTGGCAAACACCAAGAAATAGAATGACACGAAATACTTGGTGCAAAGCACAACACTTGCAGCTCGTTCAGATGCAGTGGTTACTAAAAAGTCATGATCTTGGCTAAAGAAAAGCAATGTGAAATTGAAAACATACAAATTCATCAACTTACATTATAGATTGGTTCAAACACTAAAACCAGATGTAGCCGGCTTGTTGCACCATTTTTATGTTCTCAGTTCCCCTTGGTCATTGAAGAACAGAGAATAATACTACAAAACTCGAAAGATGGAACTCCTAGACAAGGGTTCTGGCAAAATCTAACTTGTGCTTAGCATCTATTAGAAAAGGATGGCATAAAGCAGAAAGATCCTAGTCCTACCACTGCCAACAAAAATATTCAAACTGGGGTTATTACATGCAGGCTTACAGACCTTCATCAAATTACAAAGTCCTTATTTAAGATTATGAGTGGAACACCTTTCAACAAAATTTCTTAGGGAGCCACCAAAACTATTAACTTGATCGGACTAGTATAAGATGCCAATCATCTTTAAGAAGAAGATGCCAATCATCTTTAAGAAGAAGATGCCAAATATTGGAGGATAGAGATTGCACAGATAGGATATGGTAAGGATTTGTGGCAAGATAGAAGTTGCAAATCTTCCTATGAAACAAAAAAGGTGCTTGGTGTTCGTTGTCTAGAGAATAAATGTTCCAAAGCAACAGCTAGGCTACAAAAAATTTCAGCACATAATGAAAGCAAGAAATTCAAGTTAACAAACGACTCCCATGGAGACAGAGTTATCAACAAATCTGCAACCATGGCCCTAGCAATACTAGCGTGAGAACTTCAACTCAAAACCAATTGCACAAAGTGGAGTAACCCAAAAGCATATGTACTCATAAAATAAGTTGTATATCCCGATGTCAGAGTATTGGTCCGCATCCTCCCCTCTCCCGATGTGTAGCCCCGTTTACAAGGTTTAGACATGGACAAATCCTCTTAAACACACAAAATGTGAATGTTGATGTTTGTGCATGCTATGCATGTGGGATATAACTTGCTTTGTTGTCATATTAAACCTCTAGGGTTTCAAGAGAAAGCCAATTACTAATGGAGGATTAACCTGCAATAAAATATGGTAGATCAAAAATTTCAAGTCTTGGCCGAAATGAGACTAGTAAAACTGTTATACTCCCCTCATTTTTACCCTAGTGTCAAGTAGTTAAGGCATACACGGTAGCACATAACATGAATTTGAACTATTGAGGCAAAAAGAGGTTATGGCAGGAAGGTGTATTTTTCTAATTGTATCAAATCCCATTGTCATTGCACAATTTTTTTAGAAAAATGTGAACAGAATTATTGTGCAAAAACATAAAAAGTACAAAAATATAAAGTAAACAATAATAGAAGCATATGACATGCGGTTTTGACAAAAAAGTATAATATTTCGTCACCTTATGGCACATTTCTCCCTAACTCATGGCACATAGATTGTAATAGATCCAAGCTAGGACTCTCCTATACAGCTATGCCTGGATCAGTCAGATCTAACCTCACTTAAGTAAATAAGAATATGTAATTGACAAATTGAATCTGGATCCAGACCATTACCTGAATTAGCCATATAATTTATTTCTGATTACCAATAAAAAATTCCAAAACGATAGCCTTTTGGTACAAATATTAGCACTTCTCCATACAAACATTAAAATTAACAAGCTCCTCCACAAGAGACGAGCGAAATGGAAGTTATAATAGACTTGTCCCTATCTAAGCTAGCGAAACAATAACCAGACAAACTCGATTGTACTCGAAGATAAACAAGAATCAAGCAACTTCATAATAAAATTAAAAGCTACGCAATCCATAAGTCAACCTCAAAATCTCATCATAAATCAGATCCAAATCCCAAAAGTAACTTCTTGAAAACAAATCTGGATCCATTAACAACTCTAGGGTTTCAAATACACCAAAACTGAGCATATAACAGATCAAATGTCAAACAACAAAAAACCAAACAATTCAAGGCATTCTCATAGAAACACATGCATCGATTGAGAACCAACCAATCAGTAAACAATCGACTAAAGCAAGAAAAATAATAAGATACAGATATATGATGTAAACAAGTCAACCAAAGTAAAACTGTAAGAGAGATGTTGTTTGAAGAGATTAACCATGGCGGCAGACGATTGATCGGAGAAGATCGAGTCGATAAATTAAGAGAATGGTAGAGAGAGAAATTTTTGAAGAAGGGGATATGAGTAGAACAGAAGCGTGAGAGATGAAGCTGCTGATGGAAAAGACTTTTGGGGGTGCGCACGAAGATAATAAACAGAGAGATTCGGGGCCTCGCTATATCGGTGGTTACCCTCCTCTCTCATCTGAAAATATCATTTTTAAGTTTCGTATATTACACTTCAACCCCTAACATTATCATTAATTACAAATGAACCCATATTACTCGCTTAATTGGCGATCCAACGTATCAGGATTTTTGCCTACGGTTACACCACAAAGGCCCGTAAAGTCGTCCGATATGTTTTAGATGAATTCCATCATTTTGGGGAATTTTTTTTAAGTCTTTCGTTGATTTCGAAAGGTCTTTAAGTTTTTTGGTTGATTTCAGAATACTTTTTTCAGTTTTTGGTTGATATTCCTTGTATTTTCTTATATTCTGATTCACCCTTCAAAATTTAGCGGTTATGCCTTTCATATTGTAGAAAGTTATACTTATGCAAAATAGAAGGGTAATATCGTAATGCAGCGAGATATATCTCGATTTTAATGTTTTATTTTATTCAACGTCAATATAATACAATTTTATGTGGTTTTTAAAAAACAATAATATTTTTATTTTTAAATGAAATATAAACTTAAAAAAAAATATTGATATTAGTATTAAATTAATTATTTAAAAGTCATCAGTTTCCATGTAATTTTTTTAATTCATTTTTTTATTATAACTTAATTTAGACTTAATAACAAAAAAATTTTGTTTAATAATATAATTTCATAAGAATGATAATTAAGTATTCTGTTAAAACTCAATGATTATCCTAATTATATTTTATTTTTTATATTTAAAATAAGATGTTTATCTTGTATTTGATTATGTTTATATACAGTTAGTTACATGAATTCAAAAAATAGAGCTTTAATAATTTGTATGTACGCACAATTTACTTGTAATGTTGAATTTTAAGTAATATATATCAATAAACAGTACTTCATGCGTAATAAATGATTTTTAAGAGTTTTGTCAAATGATTTATAATATAATATAAATTTTATTATAATTTAATTTAGACCTAATAACAAGGTAATTTATTTTTATCAATAATATAATTTTATAAGGATGATAATTAAGTATTCGTCAAAACTCAATGATTATCTTAATTATATTTTAATTTTTTTATATTTAATATGAGATGTTTATCCTATATTTGATTATATATATCCGCAGTTAGTTGCATGAATTCAAAAATAGAGCTTTAATAATTTGTACGCACGCACAATTTACTTGTAATATTGAATTTTAAGTAATATGTATTAATAAACAGTATATCATGCATAAAAAATGATTTTTAAGAGTATTTGTCAAATGTTTTATAATATAGTATAGACAAGTTGAACGGGTGTACGAGATTTCTCTTTAGGCTTAATAGGTCTGCTTCTACACTTAGGGGACGGTTTACATAAAAAGATTAAATATCACTAGAACGTAAAAAATTAATATGAGTCAATGAAAAAATCTAAAAGAATCTATTTGAAAATGTATATGTAAACTGACATTACAAATTATTCATATAGGTTCACATATACATCTTCAAATAAATTTTTCAATATCTCGCATAGTTAACTTTCTTATTTGCTAACAGTTATGACCAAATGCTAAATTCAATAGTAATTTGTGATCATTGTTAAACGTACTGTTAAAATAACAATTATTAGACCCCACTTTCTTACTCATTTTTGAGCAAGCTGTTATGCATAAAATTTAACAAAGTTAATTATATTTGTGTATACAATATCCAAAATAATATCATTCAAGGTGTTTTTTTTTTTTTGTCCGGGGGACCATATATCTATAGCTAGGGTTTTATTTTTACAAAAATACTATTGCTTTTTTTTTTTCAATCAAGCAGTCTATCAAGGTGTGTTTGGTATACTGAATAGCACTATTCAAAGTAGAATAAATATCATTGTTCCATGTATGTTGGGACTTTTATGTGGAGCAGATAGAAACATGGTACCAACCCTATATTTTGCCAATATACATTTAAAATAAAACTTAATTCATTTTTAAACATCAAGTATATCTCCATCTTTATATTTTATTTATTTTTTAAATTTTATTTATTAAATTTTATCATTTTAAACATTCACATTACTATATTAGATAAAATAATCAAAATATATAAATAACTCATTAAGAATGATTTGACCATTTTACCAGTCGTCATTGTCAAGTTATATCTTATCAAATATTGAATAGCTGTACTATCTTTTTTATCATGTTTTGTCATGTTTTGTCTCGATACCAAACACACCCTAATACCAATTATTGTCGGTGGACAAATATGTAACTTTCAAACATTCGAAACAAATCTGATTCAAGATAAATACAACAAAATTAGGGTGTATTATAAAAATAGTCCCCTGAAGATACAAGTAACTTGAGAATTTGATCCCTTGTAAAATTTTACACAAAAAATAAATCCATATTATGTATGTAAAAAATTCATAAAAGCCCGGGAAACTATCTTATTTTGACTGATTAAGTCATTGAACTATTTTTTTGAATGAAAAAACTATTAATTTTTTTTCATTTTGAATGATTAAGTCTCTAATTTTTTTTAATAAATAAAGCATCAAACTTTTAAAAAATGGTTATCTACATCATTTTTACAAAAAAAAAAAAACTACATGTAACCGACTAAAAATATCTTAAAAGTACAAAAAACCTAAATTAATTTACTGTTTCTAAACCTTACGTCCTTTAAACTCATCGCAAACAATGGTATCACTCCCACTCGTCACTCCATGTCACCTCATCGTTGTTCATTCTTCATATCGGCTATCGTACTATTGGCCTCTACAATCAACCTCCCTCTTTTTGATCTATTTTAAGGGGTTATAAGTAGTTTCATTTTAAGCCATTTTTAGTTTGTCACAGGCAGTGTTTTTTTTTTTTTTTTTTGTAAAAATGATGTAAGTAACCATTTAAAATGAGAAAGTTTATTGGTTTTCATTTAAAGAAATAGTTAAGGGACTTAATAATTCAAAATGTTTACGAAACAACATGATTAGTTGACCTGTTCATGTTCAAAATGTTTTTTATTTTTTAGTATAATTCATTGTAAACCAATTATGAATCGTTCAAAACAGTATGGTAAAACAATTATTTCATGGATACATTTACAACCAATAATTGGAGGACCCATTATTTTTGTCGAGTGAAGACACTTTTAAGGTAGATCAAATGTCTATAAAGTCGTTCGATGTGTTTCTAATCGAATTCCATCTTTTCAACGGATTTTTAATTGATTTTGAGGGAATTTTTTTTAGTTTTTTTACTAATTTCGAGATACCTTTTTTTATTCATTTCGAGGTATTCTTTTTAGATTTTTGGTTGATATTTCTTGTATTTTCTAATATCCCGAAACACCCCAGTTATTAACGAGTGCATTTTTCATACCTCAAAGAAAATCTTATTTGTGAAAATAAGTCGAACGGGTGCACAGGAGCCCACTTGGATATACATAGGTCTGCACCTAGGTCAAAACTCATCTGATGAATGGTCCAAAAACAGGTTTGTTCAATTCAAGTGTAATAGACGAATACATGGACAACCGTGAATTAGACGATTCAGATATTAATTTTACAAAATAAAAAAGAATAAAAGAAATTATTTGCACAAATCATCAATATGGATATTAGAACTTATGACTCATGATGGTGACCACTAACCATCACGCTAAGTAGTGATGGAGATTGAAAGGGTATTATGAAAAAGAAAATATCAAACCTTTTAAAAGCGAACCGTAATATCATTCAATTACAAATATTTACTGTCAGGTTGGATATTGAATCTTTTTTATAAACCAAAATTTGTAAACCATGCAGTTTAGCATGAGGTGAACCCTATTAAGTCAATCATAAAAATATGATTTGATTTTGATCTGTTTGTACAATTTTTAGTATGTTATACACATTAAACTGTTAACTAGTAAAATCAAATCTAAATATAGTTTAAAATACAAGTAAAACACAACCATGGTTAGATGCTCTATTAATTAAATCAAATAAGCACATTATATCTCACTCGAAGGTAAGATCTAGAATGGCAAGAACATGGACGGACCTCATGTGGTGGCATGGGTGGCACGTGCCACCGTATTATTTTACGGTCGAAGGGTAAAAAATTTAGGTTTGTTAACGGTGCTACCGTATCGTTTTAGAAGGTGCTACCGTATTTCCCTGAAATCCAAATGGTGCAACTAAAACCCAAACAAAACAAAGCCCAAATAACCAAAACCATATTTTTTGTAATTATTTTTGGGTATATATTGATCGTTTTCAAAAGATAAAGACGCGTCGGGTACAAGTTTAGGAGTTATTTATTGGTAATTAGGGCTGTAAACGAACCGAACGAACACGAACGGAGGCTTGTTCATGTTCGTTCGTTTAACTTAACTGAATAAACGAACGAACATGAACGGTAAACGAACGAAAATCTTTGTGTTCGTGTTCGTTTGTTTAGAAATAAGGTGTGTTCGTGTTCGCTTATGTTCGTTTGTAAACATGCTAAACGAACGTAAACGAACGAACGGGCTAAACGAACATAAATAAATATTATTTGAATTCAAAGTAAATAAATAGAAGATAATATATTAAACTTAATATATAAACGAACATAAACAAACGAATATAAACGAACATAAATGAACGAACGAGACTCTTGTTCATGTTCGTTCGTTTAACTAAACGAACAAAAAAATAATAATTCATGTTCGTTCATTTATTAAATAAACGAACATAAACGAACTTCCCGCCGAACGGTTCACGAACTTCTCGCCGAATGGTTCACGAACGGTTTTTGAACTTTCGGTTCGTTTACAGCCCTATCGGTACTATAAAAACCATATTTTTTGTAATTATTTTTAGATGTATATTATAGTATATTAATTATATGGTGTCACCGTTAAAAAAAATTCTGGGTCCGTCCCTGGATAAGAAGTACGCAGATCCGACATTTGCTTTTTATGAAAAAATGGCATACATACTCAAATGAAGTTAACAACACCAACCGTAACAAGGGTGTTTCAACTGAGCATCTAATATTCTAAATAATCTTTATATTATCCATTGCA